TTTTATGGCGGGATGGGGGGTTTCTACTGCTGCTAAGATGATACGCCATACTTACGCAATTATTGTTGGTTTTATTCTCCAGTTTTAAGGGTTCTTTGTTTGGTAATGCTCTACCAACATCGCTCGCCTCTTAGAGTTGGGCCTGAAGAACTTTAATTTGGAGGCTATATAAAAGGTGGGGTAAGAAAGCTGCCAGTGCTAGGACACTGATTTAAATCTGTGCAGGGTGGAAAGCGATGCTGGTTACTAACCTGTCTGTTTTAGGCATGGCCAGTGTGTTCGTGCTCAGGGGCCGCTTCTTCCCCACTGGTGGGCTGTTTAGAAAAGGCTGCAATGGGATGAACTCACAGGAATTCTGCTGGTTTTACAGTGGGGTAAAACTGCCTAATGGGCAAGATGCTTCCACTTGCCTTCTGTCCACTGTGGTTTATAAGATAGGAGCTCGTCATTATTCAGTTTCTTAGGAACTGCATTTTTGAGGAATCAAATGGTAGTTGGGGGTCTTTCTTGGCAGTGGTGGTATAGAATCAATTATAAGCTACGCTGAGCTACTTTTTTTAGAGACAGGAGCTAAATTAAAGACTTGTGGACCTTTAGCAGCGCATCGGGAAACTTTCGTAGGTAATTTTCATTCTCTTCCCACTCCTTGGGTAAGAAAATGGCTTACGTTTCCTGAGCTATCAGCCTAGTGATATTTGTGAGGATTGTGTTTACGGGGGGAGTAGAAGTAGCATATTGCATTTACAGTGTGTCTGTGCCATAGCCACTGATATTTCTGGATGTCCCTAGTTGCTATGTACTTTGGGGAGACTAATATTTCCAAATACTTTTGTGCAAGTGGCAGGAGGTATGAAGATGGAACTGTGTAACTCGAATTATATGGGTGACCCGGACGCTGCTGAGTTATCTTATACAATAATGTTTTTTTTTAAGGTGGCTTCTCAGGGTTTTATGGCGGGATGGGGGGTTTCTACTGCTGCTAAGATGATACGCCATACTTACGCAATTATTGTTGGTTTTATTCTCCAGTTTTAAGGGTTCTTTGTTTGGTAATGCTCTACCAACATCGCTCGCCTCTTAGAGTTGGGCCTGAAGAACTTTAATTTGGAGGCTATATAAAAGGTGGGGTAAGAAAGCTGCCAGTGCTAGGACACTGATTTAAATCTGTGCAGGGTGGAAAGCGATGCTGGTTACTAACCTGTCTGTTTTAGGCATGGCCAGTGTGTTCGTGCTCAGGGGCCGCTTCTTCCCCACTGGTGGGCTGTTTAGAAAAGGCTGCAATGGGATGAACTCACAGGAATTCTGCTGGTTTTACAGTGGGGTAAAACTGCCTAATGGGCAAGATGCTTCCACTTGCCTTCTGTCCACTGTGGTTTATAAGATAGGAGCTCGTCATTATTCAGTTTCTTAGGAACTGCATTTTTGAGGAATCAAATGGTAGTTGGGGGTCTTTCTTGGCAGTGGTGGTATAGAATCAATTATAAGCTACGCTGAGCTACTTTTTTTAGAGACAGGAGCTAAATTAAAGACTTGTGGACCTTTAGCAGCGCATTGGGAAACTTTTGTAGGTAATTTTCATTCTCTTCCCACTCCTTGGGTAAGAAAATGGCTTACGTTTCCTGAGCTATCAGCCTAGTGATATTTGTGAGGATTGTGTTTACGGGGGGAGTAGAAGTAGCATATTGCATTTACAGTGTGTCTGTGCCATAGCCACTGATATTTCTGGATGTCCCTAGTTGCTATGTACTTTGGGGAGACTAATATTTCCAAATACTTTTGTGCAAGTGGCAGGAGGTATGAAGATGGAACTGTGTAACTCGAATTATATGGGTGACCCGGACGCTGCTGAGTTATCTTATACAATAATCAACTTCTTTCCAAAGTGTGGGCCTTTAACTTATTTTTAATTATAACCTCTTCTGGCAAAGTCAGTGTTTTATTCCCATATTCTTTATTATATATATATTTTCCCCCCATTTATAGGAACGCAGTAAAATATGTGTTATGTTAGGATCAGCTTATAGTGAGGGTCTGCTGAATTTGTTCCCTTTCACCTTCCCTCAGATTTGGCTGCCGTGTATATAATAAATAGTTCAGAATTCAACAAGGGTGAGAGAATATCAGGTTTCTTATTATTAGCATATAATACGGCAAAGAACGTTGTTCAAAAAATTAGCCAATAAATAGAATTCTAAGTTCATCTCACTGATGATCTAGTCAAAACCAGTCCCCCTTCTCTGAACCAAACTACCTTTCAGCTTCTTCCTAGAAGATCCTCTAGGTGTTATAGTGGCTACTTTTCTAAGGGGTGCAATATAATTTGTTCAGACTTTTCTGTAAAAGGCACTTTGAAGAGATGGAAAAAAAAAAAGATAGGTTGAAGGTAGGTGAATGACTAGTCCATATTAGACCATGCCTCTCAGAAAATTGATGACTTGGTCAAAATTCACTTGGTTTCATTTAAAAGGCTGGTGAGCTATAGCCTTAGGAATTGGTTGTGAGTTGGTATCTGTCCCTTTTGCAGAAGGGAAAAAGTGTGTTGTCATCTAGCTGGGCATATTTATATAGGCAGAGTAAATGAACCAGTGCTTAAAGTGTTATATTAACACCTATATTAATGAAGAATCTCTTGCAGAAAATTTGTTCTAAGTTTAGAAGCATTGCTCATGAAATAATTTTTCTCTTTTTTTTAATTTATTTTATTTTATTCTTAGTGACAGTTGCTTGGTTAAATAAGGTCTCCTAAGGATAACGTTCTCTAATCTCCAAAGATGGCAGCTGTTGCAGGTAATCCAAAATTAGTATCCAATATGTTCATTTTGCTATCTTTTAGCTAACAGACACAATCACCTGATGTTACTGATTGTTATTTATATGAATTTAACATATGCAGAAAAGAGTTTCTGGGGTATATGTTATTATACTTCAGATTTGAAGAAAAAGTTCTTTTACTGGATAACTTTCTGTTTCTTAGATAAAAACTAAAACAAAAGCGGGTTTGTCAAGGAAATTACTTGGTTTTCAATATTTTGGAAATATGCTTCATGTTTTAAGGTACTTTCAACTCTTTCCTGCTGAGTAACAGTGGACATTTAGGAAGACATATATCCCCATTTTGTGCCACTTGTTATGAGGCTATCTTTTTCCATATCATACATTTTTGCTTCCATAAGCAGATTATCATATCTGCTGTGCTTCGACCAAAATCTCTTGTTTTGTGGGGGATACATTTTTGCTTCCATAAGCAGATTATCATCTCTGCTGTGCTTGGACCAAAATCTCTTGTTTTGCGGGGGATGGGGGGGGAGGAAGACATTTCTTCTTAGGCTTTTCTGACCTGGCTCTGAAATATTGATACACGTTTGGCATGCTGTGGTATGTGTTAATTATTCTTTTAAGCCCTGGGGATTGGATTCTAGAACACAATCCGTAATTCACACAGATGCGTGTAAAGATGTAAAGAGGCAAATTCTCGCCAAAGATTCACTTATGTAACCCAAGCTCTTGGGGACTATTTGCTTCAGCTTTTTCGGATCTGAAGAATGGCTTGTGTTCGCAAAAGCTTTTGTCCTCTGTGTTCAAACCTTGACGTTCAGCAGATCCTCTGGTTCTGCATAGAAGGGAGATCTGGGTGCATGAAATGTAGCTTTTTGCTAATGTCCCTATTTCCATCTTCAGCAGACCTTTACTTGCTGAGATTAATGTTGCTTCTCACATGTAAATGATTTCTATTAAAAATGTTCTAATGTTGTGCTCACCTTGGAATTGGCTGGAGTTCCCATTGTCTTCATTGTAACAGCAGCTTTAATATCAGGCCAGATGCAATGTGCTTTTCACTGCTTAACACGCATCTGCAGAAAAGAAAATAATTTCAAGTGTTTCTCTGGAGATGGACCGCTTTTGAGAAACTGGATTGTGACGTGTTTTTTTCCTCTATTAATCAACACAGGCAGCGATAGTGTTGCATATCTCTCATACACCGTATCGGAGATGACAACTTACAGCATACCTGCGTATATATGACCTACTAATACAAGAAATATGTTGTTAAGCCTTGCTAAGTATTTTTACATGGCATATACAGTATTAGATGCTATAGTCTTATCGGTGGGCCTGTCAGGCTGTCTGTGTCTCCAGATGCTTTTGGTTTGTGTTTAATTTTGATCGTTCTCAATCAACCAGTGAAATACAACATCCTTTAAAACTGGGATTAGTATGTTACTGTGGTCTCTATTCTGCCTTCACCTTGCTTTTCCCTCCAGTGCTAGAGGAGGTACTGGTTTCCATTGAAAATGAGCTGCAGGCAGTGGAGATGCAGATTCAGGAGCTTGTGGATAAACAGCAGGAACTCATTCAAAAGAAGATGAGGGTAAAGAGTCTGATAAAGCAGTCCTCAGGAGACTTGGAGGCAGGTGGAAGTAAAGACACCGAAACCTCAGCCGAGGCATGGAACAAAAAAGGTTTGCAGAGTCCAATTCAAATATTCTAACATAGAAGTAAACTAATTCAGTAGGGGAAAAATGTGTTCCTACAGAGCATTGTTTGGATAACAATACTGTCCTATTTGATTTTGTTCAGCTGGGTGACCTGCCATCTTAATTACACAGGGTAATGTTTGTACTTAACTCCCTGGACATTCCTAAATACTAATCTGAGTTATTCTGGGCAGAATTATCACAAGAATGGCCTGTTATAACTACTTTTATTCTTTTCTTGTTGCAAAGTCACAACTTGAGTTGATTTGCTATAAGAATCCCAGAGTGAATCTGGATATATTGCAATACTTATATTCCCTGTTTATTTATGTTCTAAAAATAGTTACTCTGGATCTTTTCAGGATTTGATAACAACAATCTTGCACTCTCAAAGTTACTTCTTGCTGTCTTTGTGTTTCTTCTTGCTTGAGTGGGTAGGACATTGGTGTGTCTGCCGTGGGTTATGTAGCCTCACCGTCTTACCAAATTATGCAAATTAGATGGATGCTGACTGCCAAAAGTAACGCAGAATACATTAGTATGGTAGAGTTAGTCCAAGTGGCAAGTGTCCCATGGTGGTGTGAGGGCTGCTGTTCTTTTGGAAGTGCTGTCTTTCAAGTTAAACATTAACTGAGGTCCTGGATAGCTTGTGGGTCTTGACCATGTTATGCCTAGCCAAATTCAATTCACATCTTTTTATTATTTTTTTTTCCCTCCTCTTTTACTTCACTTGCAATTTGGAAATGCGTTGTTAGTTTCTGCCTGTATCTATTGTATGCATTCCACTTTTTGGCTTTTTTAAAAATGAGATTAATTTTGTAGTCTAATCCATATTTGTCTGTGTTTGAGAAAAGTGTTACGCAAACGTAAGAATACTGTTACTTTATAATTGCAAATTGATGCTACTGAACAAATCGATTTGTTTTGGGTGACTTTGTACATAATTCTCTCCTCCTATGTATGAAAACTAACGTCTTTGCAATCAGATGCTGTGTACGTGTTGAATAAGAACAGTAGCTAAATTTGTTCCCGGTACAAAGCTCACTGAAGTCAGTGGGAGGCTTTTCTTGGTTTCAGAGAGCCTTGGATCTTGGCTGTGATCTCTGCAAATTAGGAAGCAATGTCACCTCAAGTCGCAAAGTTAATTCTTGCATTGCATGCGGTGTACCCTGGAGTTCCCACACTTTTTCTGCATTTTAGTTTTAATAATACAAAAATGGTTAATATGCTTCCTGATGCATCTGAAATTTAAGTTCTTACAGTATTATGTCTTTAAATGATGCAGTCTTTAGCTCTTTATTGAAGAAAAGAAAAAACTATTATAAGCTTGTTGGGGTGATTATTTTGGGGAAGATTAAACTTCCCCTCCCCCCCCCTTTTTTTTTTTTAATAAATGCTTATTATTTCTGGAATATATGGAAAAAATGGTAGCCCTGCCTTCATTATACTATTTGTAATCATTGCATTTGTGTGAGGGAAGCATTTGGGCAACTTAGTAGTGAGACTGTGGTAGGGCTCAGTGACTAGTTTTACTTATTTTCAGGGTGGGCTTCTCATTTCCATTTAATTTTGGACTAATCAGTTAACTTGGTCATTAGCACTTCAAAGTTTTTCATCTGCTTATGAGTTTTTAGCATTAGTTCACATTTATGTGCAATGAGAGCCTTTAGTCTGGAGGTGGATTGTGTTTACATTTCATAGGGCTTTCAAAGGTCCGCCTTAGAAATTAGTTTATAGAGACTCAGGTTGTGGGTAGCTTTTTGTGTGCCATTATTGAATCTTTGAACACTTTACCAGATCTAAAATTGTATTGCTTCCAGATTTACTTACTGTATATGTAAATTGCCCTTCCTTCTTATATTTTAACAAACTTCGTTATGAAACGTCTTTGGTTTTTTTTCCCTTAACAGATTTTCCGTGGTATGAGAAGATAAAAACTGCACTGCAGAGCAAGTTTAAACTCCAGAAGTTTAGGTCCTTGCAACTTGAAACAGTAAATGCTGCAATGGCGGGAAAGGATATATTTCTTGTCATGCCCACAGGTGGTGGAAAGAGCCTTTGCTATCAGTTACCAGCTGTCTGTTCTGATGGTACGTAAGAGAAGAAAAGGTCACATACAAACAATTGGATTTATTTTCTCTCTTTTATAATTATTTGGAGAATGAACATTATATTGGTGTCTAATATCACGATATGGGGGAAAAAGAGCAAAGATATGAGAAAGATTTACTAGAAATACTTGCTTTGCTCTATTTTCTCTGAAGGAGCAATAGCAGCTTTAAAATAGATGTGCCTTTTAGATGTGATTTAGATTTAAATAATTTATCTAGTTCCTCTCAATATGTTATGTTATTAAACACTGAAAGAACTTTTAAAAAGTTTGTGACAATTTTTTTTCTTTCTTTCTCTTTTAATTCAATATACAGACTATAAATTATTAAAGTATGGATATCTGTTATTTGTCTGTTCCACTCTAAAGTTTTAGCTTCAGATTATTTGGGAGAGACTTTGCATATTAATTTTTAAAAATAAATATCCAGTTCTAGTTTTTAAGCTTTTTTTTTTTTAAAAAAAAATAACCCGTCCAACTGCATGGAAGCTTACTTATTTACAGAGACCAAATTTACCAATACCTAGCATTGCATAGTTGTGTGGTAAATTCGCACCTCGCGACACAGGTGTGAATCCAACTTTGCTTTGTATATTGGTTCTTATGCTCTGTTGCAGCTCAGTTGTTTGTGGTCTAGATTCTGAGGGAAGGTGCATGTCCCAGGCAGTTGATCAGAAGTATCCCTGTGTGACCTAGCCTCGCTGATCAGCTATCTAGGAGGGGAATCTGCTACAATCACGTTTGGCAGTTCCTTCAGAACAGAGCTGATGCATTAGTAAAAAGTATTAGAGGAGATATTTGTGACATCTGAACTGTTCAGTCGGCACAATGTTTGATTGTTACAGGTTTCACACTTGTGATATGTCCTTTGATATCACTTATGGAAGATCAGCTCATGGTTTTGGAACAGCTTGGTATTTCTGCAACTTTATTAAATGCCTCAAGCAGTAAGGTATGTTTAACTGCCAAGTTTTCATGGTTTTTGTGGTGTATGTGTCAGCGTCTTGCCTGTGTGTATGTTATTTATGAATACTGAATGAATGGCACAGTTTTATTAGCTAATGCCATTCTATCAACAGTATCTTGCTAGCCATGTGCTGTCATATGGGTAATGTGAATAAGTATCTTGCGTTCTTGTTCTAATGACAAGAACACACGTAAACCAACACCTTTCATGGAATAAATAGGTTTCATGGGACTATTTAGAGGATGTGAAGTACCTTTCGCTGGTGTGTGTTGTAGTTTTTTGACTCCATTTCTAGACTTAAAAGAAGATTGGAGTAGGTAATTTTTGTCCACTAGTAACATGTTGAGCAGCGCAGGCTTTTACATATAATTATTTATCTTACTTTAGGATGGTAAGCTGTTTGATCCAGAGGCCAAGAAGCAACTTATTTCCCAGGTTGTTATTAGTCAATTGCTTTTTACAATGAAATATATTTTCCTGACTACCAGGAGGCCATGGTCATTAACTTGCACATGACACTGGATTTGATAGGTTAGTGGCTTGATGCAGTGTGCCAAACTTGGAGCCTGCTTTGAGGTAGAGCGCTTTGAAAACTCAGTAATAAAGACTACAATTGTGTGTAAGAAATTATTTTACACTTGTAGTACCACAGGCATGTTTGGTACATTATAGTTTATTGGGAAAATACTGATACCACATGATGAAGCAAAGACAAATATTCAATAGTTTGCTTTTTCAAAGTTCTGTGACAGATTTTCCAAGTATTAAAACGAACATTTTATATATAATGATGATCTGCAAAGACTTATAGTAGTGGTGAATGCTATGTAACAGTTTATCAGTCTCTGTTAATTACCCCTTATGTATTGTTAATAACTTCTTAAGAATCTTAGTACTAAGCGACTTCAGTGTGTTGTCCTAGTTTGTTAGCCCCTGATTTCTCCTTTTGTTTTGAACAGGAACACGTGAAGTGGGTTCATACTGAAATGCTAAACAGAAATTCGCAACTGAAGCTCATTTATGTGACCCCGGAGAAGATTGCAAAAAGCAAAATGTTCATGTCAAAGCTAGAGAAGGCTTATCAAGCAGGGTGTCTTGCTCGCATTGCTGTAGACGAGGTCCATTGCTGTAGTCAATGGGGCCATGACTTCAGGCCTGGTATGCTCACTAGAAATCCAGTTTGCAGTGTTATTCAGGCATCAATAAATAATGAGTTAGGCCTGAAATAAAGCCAGGTGCTTTCCTCATGTGTTAAGTAAATACTTAGTGTATGGCAAGTACTTGTGTTGGCTCACGGACTTTAAATTTAATTCAGAAGTGACTATATCCTTGTCCAGGAGCTAAGTTCACGCAAATGGGGGTGATTTCAATGTAGATTTTGCTGTCAGCATTCTGAAAAGCTCCTAATTCAGTTTATTTTAATTGGAGCTTAATGAAATGAAAGTTTTTGGCTGCCATCTTTAATATGGACAATACAGTCATCTTTAATCTACTGCTACATGAAAAAGTGTCATTCTGTACACTGCTCCCTCACACCCTGGGTGACAGAGGTAGAGCACTTTGTAAATTCATGAGATACATTTTAATCGCTTTTAAAGCAAGTTGAAACAAATGCCCTTGACTTGCAGGGAAAGAAAGTGTGCTTCAGTCTGTTTCTTATCTTGTCAGTTTTAGAAGACTGTTACTTACTGGTTACTGTTTCTTTGCCTTTGAAAGAAAATCTGATTTGAAGCAATAGTAACTGTAAAGTCAACCTTTGCAGTTGTGTTAAAAAGTGGTGTCTGAGCAAGAAGCCGTGCCAGTTAAACAGGCAACGTGGAATTTAGATGTGTACCTCTGGCTGCATTTCTGTTCTAAGGCAGCAAGTGATTGTCAGCACTGAGCCTTTAAAATCTTTCCTTAGTACAGTCTGGCCTATGTATCCAAATTCTACATTGCCTGTTTATTAGCAAAGCTGTGTTTACTGAAAAGCTGTTTCTAAAAACAGACCTGCAAAATAACCTGAATGTTGGCTAATGGTTTTTCTAACTTTTTAAGAACTTCTATTTCAATATGGTTTGCCTTCTGAATTGTGTCTGTTTCTGTGAAATTCAATTAGAAGAGAAAGCATCTATTTTGATAAGTGCAACTTTCTTATTACTTCATTTGGATGTATCAATTAGTTCTGTGGTAAATTGATCAGTAATAACATTTATTGCAGTATTACCCCATTGAATGCTATCTACATGAGTATCTTTTTTAACTTTGGATCTGTGGTATGAGAAATCTTTTTCTTTCCCCTTTTTGTTTTCTTTCTTAGACTACAAGTATTTTGGTATCTTGAAAAGACAGTTTCCCAATGCTCCCTTGATTGGATTGACAGCAACTGCTACAAATCATGTTTTAAAGGATGCTCAGAAAATTTTGCATGTTCAGAAGTGCATTACCTTTACTGCTTCTTTCAACCGGCCCAATCTTTACTATGAGGTATGTCTTATTACCTGTTTGTTTGACTGCGTTGCAGTCATGTTATCTTCTGTAAGTTACAGCTGATGAATTTTAGAATAGATTTTCAATTACACGTTTTAGTAATAAATAGCTTTTCAACTGGATGATGATGTTCTTTCATGACTTCATCTTGCTGAACTTGCTGTCATCTGCAGAGGAACTTGGGCTGCTCTGTCTTTGTGAGCAAGGCTTAGCGGATAGGACTGTGTACAGGGGAGAGGTAGGTAGCAGGCTCAGACTGCTACAACCTGTTGGAAAATATGCCATATGATTACAAAAAGTTGTGATTTATTGTGTTGTATTGTATTTTCAGTTTGACCACAGGTTCTTTTATTGTTTTTCATGGGAAAACTTGTGATTTTGGTTTCTTTTCCTATGGATTTTTGAGATGTAATCTGACTGTACACAAAAAGAATATAATGAGTTTGGATAAATGGCAGAATAGTTGTGTTTATTGTACTGGAAGAAGAAGAATAATAGGATTATTTGACAGACTGTGTGCCCGCTTGAAGAACTCTCTGGCATGTGTATATTATATTTTTGAGGTTCGGCATAAGCCTTCAAATAATGAAGATTTCATTGAAGACATAGTTAAGATCATTAATGGAAGATACAAAGGACTCTCAGGTAAAAAGTGTTTTAAAAAAAGAAAAAGCAGCATGTTATTTTTTTTATAATCTTAAGCGTTATAGGGACGCTTTCAAGTGATCCTGAAACACGTAGAGAAATTCTACCTTCACCATACATTAAATATCCAGCATTAAAAGAAATGAAATTTTAATAAAACCCATATCTTGAATAATTACTCTTTTCATTCATTAGTGTTTAAGTGTCTTTACAGTTTACTTACATCTTCTGAAGTATTGAAATATAATGTTGATGTATATAAAACAATGTTTACATAGATAAGAATAATAGCAATTTTTGAGCTTGTAAAAACAACGCTCAAAAAAGGTTATCTGAATGTTCTTATATCATGCGTATGTTATTTAGTATCTGTGTGTCAGGACACTTACTATCTTTTTCATATTTGATCATAAGATTCATGTATTATTCAATGCCCAGAATGGGTGCATGGTGGGGTGAATTGCGCATTTATGAAGAAAGCAGAACTGTAAAGGTTGGACTTTGTGTAGTCAGTAAATTATGTAGTGCAAATAAAGAGGAGAGCCGTATTACAAGGGCAACAGAACCCAATTTTCCGGAGCAGCAGTCTGTCCCTGTCTCTGCTGTGGAACTCTGTGGCTGTGATGAGCAGCTCCCCGAGTACAAACTGTGCTAAGATGATCACAAATTACATGGCTTTGCGTGTAATCCTTGACTTAGCCCAGACTGACTAATGACAAAAAGCAGATTTATCTGAAACCTCAGGTGACATGTCATAGATGTCATAAGGAACAGCACTCCTTCACATAAGCATTAATAACCGTTGTCCTCCTTGAACATTAATAGAATGCTTCCGTGATTACGTGGGTTGGCACCCATGTTTTCTCTTTAGCCTACAAGTCAAAGCTGATAATTGAAGTTCCATTCGTGGCTACCAGTACTGCAGACTGAACAGGCACAAAGATCGTTCACTGGTTTTTATTTATTTATTTTTAAGTTAATAAAACTTTCAAGGTTGTTTTTAAGAATTGGGGATTGTTTGTGTTTTTTTAAGACATTACAATAAATCATCTTTCACTTTTGTGCAGGAATCGTTTACTGTTTTTCTCAGAAGGATTCTGAGCAAGTTACTGTGAGTTTGCAGAAACTGGGAATCAAGGCAGGGACTTACCATGCAAACATGGACGCTAAATACAAGACCAAAGTTCATAAAGGATGGGCAGCAAATCAAATCCAGGTTAAGTAGATAGTTTTCACAGACTTATGTCTCATTTAAACAAATTGTGTTTTGGTACCTTGATGGTTTCTTAATCTTATTTCAGGTTGTAGTGGCGACTGTTGCTTTTGGCATGGGGATTGATAAACCTGACGTGAGGTTTGTAATTCATCATTCTATGAGCAAATCCATGGAGAACTACTACCAAGAGAGTGGACGTGCAGGTATTGTAGGAAATGGCTTTCGCAAAGCAGCCATTTACATCCGTTAAACCAATAAAATTGTACTTTGATTTCAGCCATTTGTGCAAAGCGTCTTGTCTTTTAGACAGGTTCCAAAGTGTATAATGCCACTCTGCCTCTGTAAAGAGGCTTTAAAGCAAATCGAAACTACATTCGTGATCTCAGGCCTCTCTACTGCAGTGTAGCAAAGAGTAACTGAGTACCTCGCCCTTTACTCAGCATGTTTTTCATTACTTGAATATTGTGACGTCCGTGGCTTACCAGAATAATGTCATAACATGACATTGACTGATCGAATGTATGTTACAGAAAGGGTTACTTTTTTTTTTTCTTTGCATAGCAACTTGGTTGAGATTTTAACTATGTCTGTATGGTAGAAATTGGCCTTAATGCTGGCCTAAGAAATACGACAGTCATCAAAGTTTGTGGGAGTTTGCATCTGCTTACGCTAGAGAGACAAGGGCCGTGTAAGTGCTGAAATAGTTGTTTCACAATGTTTATCAACTTGAGGTGATTAGAGCAAGCTTTTGTGTGTTTCTTTTTCATAACCCAGTTTAAATGAGATTCTTCTGGAGGGGATTAATTAAGCACTGCTACTCATTTGCCTGAACACACTACTTAGCTTATGAAACCTTCCTTTTTCCCCTTGACTGCCCATCCAAGTGAAGTAGTTCCTTTTTGTTATATGTTAAATCTTTAAAAATTTAGGGTTTTTTTAGACCTTTTCTGCTCTTTGGGTCTTGTAAACAGCAGGAGGGCACCCATCAGCACATCATTGGGAGGGGTGGGCAACGGGAAGGAAGAGATGATCCAAGTTCAGCTATAGAAGACACAGTTGGTTTTAAATGGAATATTTTGTTAAATTATACCTAATTCTCTCTTTATGTATTACCATTAATACCTAACAAGGTATTTGAAGCTCACAATGTCTTTTAATCAAATAAGAATTAGGCTTCAAGGTGTATTTGGCTAGGATTTTCCAAGAGGTGTTAGGGTGAGAAAATGGTGATTTCACTGACTTTCTGTATGACATCAGTATTTTATTTTAATTGTTAAAGGGTAAAAATCTTTGTTGTGTAGTATTTTCAGTTTGCTTGATACTGTAGTTGTAGAAGACTGTTCTAAATCTATTTTATTTCTAGTCTGCATCATGCTATGTTCTATTGGCTAACATGTTACGCTTGGTATTCTGTTACAGTCATGCACTCCCTATAAAGGGGCTGCAGAAGCCCATGCAGATAAGTGGAATTTGTACCAGAAAACGCTATACTTTAAACTTTAGAAGAGATTTATTTTAAATCTAAATTTTTTGTTTGTTTTAATGCATTGCAGGTAGAGATGACCAAAAAGCTGACTGCATTTTGTATTACGGTTTTGGAGATATATTCAGAATCAGCTCAATGGTGGTGATGGAAAATGTAGGGCAAGAGAAGCTGTATGATATGGTGTCTTACTGTCAGAATATGAACAAGTAAGTTACTGTGGTGGCTTGGTTGCTTAGTTTTTAGATAGTTAGGTTACTTTTGTTGGTTTTTTTAGAGGGTATTTTAAAAAAAAAAAAAGCACTGAACAAAAAACCCCACAAAACCAACCGCCACAACAAAACAAAACAACCCCTCCACACTACAGAAACACTGCCACTGTGACGGAGTCTCGAGTTTGGAGCTTGTGGTTTGGCTGCTCAGTAGGTGTACTCTTGCACATAACTGAATGTTGGTGCGTGCTTGTCAGCTTCAGGATAAAGTTCTGGAAGCAGTTATGTTGAGATAAAGTATCTGTCAACAGACAGTGTTTGGATTTCAAATCCCATTCAGAGCAAATACTGGAATGCTTTGTTTTTTTACTCTAGGGTACCAGTGTTTCAGGGCCATAGAGGAATCTGCGTGTTTAATGCTTCATCTGCTGCACTAAGCTGTATTGAAAACTTCATGGAAAACACTTGGATCTATGTTGTGGACAACTCGTGCATTTGCTATAGCCTTTGTTGGCCTCAGTCTAAGAATTAGTTCATATTCTTATGATTTCTCATTCTATTGGAATTGCAGATTATACTTACTTTTCTGCTTTAATCAAGCTGTTCCTACAGCAGTGTTTAGTATTGCTGAAACCTACTAGTTACTCCTGTTAGTGTAACTGACAGGGAATAAATACTGTGTTGCAGCATTTGTTTTCTGAGTTTTCCGGAGATAATTCTTCATGCTTGTTTTGAGATATGAGCTGACCCAGGGACCTTCTTTTTGCCACTTTCATGATTTATGACGCAGGTGTATACATGTTTGTTCTACAGTCCCTCTTTGCTCTCTGTTCTTTCAGGTGTCGCCGGGTCCTCATAGCCCATCATTTTGATGAAGTATGGGATTCTGCAAACTGCAACAGAATGTGTGATAACTGCTGTAGAGAGAACTGTAAGTAAATTGGTTTTATAACCAAGGAAAGAGAACATGGAGAAGGTTGGCTTAAAGAAGTATCTAGTTTAGACAAACTGTGAGCAGCTTCTGTAAAGTGTGCTCATAACACCGCCCGTTTCCAAGGTTCAACTTTTGTTATGAACATCAGTTTTTGGTGTCTTAGTGTTGTCAAATTCAGGGTGTTTAGCAGGGTACTTCCTGGTTTGGCTTTTTGCCTGAGGCCAAACACTTTGGTATCTTTCAGGCTCAGCCGTTCACCTGTTCCCAGAAGTGAAGCTGGGGCAAGGGGGAAATTGGCTTACCTGTTTTAAAAAGATTCTGGTATGTTTTCTTTCAGGATTTTTTTTTTTTTTGGGTGTGAAAGCTTTGTTTTGAGAAGGAGTCTCTGGCTCTCTGCATGACAAACTGTTCACACTTAGGCTCTGAGAAGGCACGGTTTGCATGTCCTTTTACAACTTGCCTGGTAGAACCTCTGAGAATTTCAGTGCTGCATGCTCATGAGACCTACCTGTGCGAGGACTGTGCGTGATGGTTGTGCGGAACAACTGAGCATGCTAATTCAGGATTTTGCCATGTGTTAGCCCTAGCAGCACAATGTCTGTCTAGTGTGTGCTCTTCCTTTGGAAGAAAGTTGGGATCATAAGAGGGAAGGCATATGGGCCAGACGTAGAGGGAACTTAGGAGATGAGCTGAAACAAGACCTGCTGCTGCATGGTAAAGGAGGATGGTTTCAGCAGAACATGGTTCTGGGACGTAAGTTCTTTTGCTGCTTTGCCTACGAACATCCTGGGCAGTGTTGGGTAGCTGGTTTAAACTACACTTTCAAGGGTAATCATTGGCTGCTTTGACTGTCATTTTTGTTACCCATCCAGAAAGTCATAAATCTCTGAAGATGCACGAAGTATCTGTTGCTGCACTTACAGTGAGAGCTGTGGTTTAGACACAGGAAATCCCATACAAAGCTAGGAAGCTCTGAAAAGAGTGCTGAGGAAAAGTTGGTCTTGGGCATCTCTCTTAGACATACAAAACCACCTTAAATTTCTTTGAGTAACAGGTGAATTCTTGTAGTATGTGGAAAATACCATCTCCTCATACCTCATATCTGTTGCAAAGCATTTGGATAACATAGTGATCAGCACTTGAAAAACTTAGGAACAACTCTGTTTTCAAAGCTGTTCTCATAACTAGACTTTATTTCCCTGTACAGTTTTTGGGGGTACCCCCCAAAGTAGACAAAACAAAGATGTTTAACCTCTTTTTTTTTTTCTTTATACAGCTAGTTATATCTATATAATGAAACTGTTTTGCAAAATCATGCAAGTAACAATGTCTTGTTATCTTCTGGTTGGAAATGGGGCTTAGTTGAAATTTGTACTGGGATCAGAGGTTGAGAAAAGTATGGAGCTTGCTTGTACCCAAGACTTACAGGAGCTGTGTGATGAAGTATGGTTGAAATACATCTTGTTTACTGCTGGTTTACCCTCAGGGCCTTTTGATATGTAAGCAAGGTCTGAGGAAACCTAGCAGTAGTACTAGTTTTTCAGTACTTAACTCTTAGTGTTGGAGGGGGCAGTTGGGGTAATTCTGTGCCACGATCTGATCATGCAGTAGAAGCACGATCATTATGTACTTACATGGTTGTGTTAGTGCTCGGAATAATTAGTCATGATGAAGCTAATTTGTATAATGAAATCAATACTTTTTTTCCATCTCATTTTGTTCGTGTCTTGAGAGAAGAAATGTCTCACTTATTCTTCAATTCCTTTTTGCTCTCTATTCTTTCCATAATAAATACTGTAGGTGAGGAAAAGGAAGCCAGCTGCAGAGTAACATAGTAGCTACCTTACAGATTTTATGCTTCTTTGAAGTAATTTGTGTGGTTTGTAACGTTAAATACATGTAAAAATGTTTGCAGGACTGGAGTTCTAATAACGAAGTAGAAAGATAAATGTAAGTTTGAGTACAAATACATCCTAATTTGACAGAGGGAAAGTTACGGCTTTATTTGTTAAAAGTTACAGCTTTATTTGTTACACACATATATTTATAGATGTACATATAAATACACCTAATGTAGATATGGTTACTATCTAAATAACTATAAATAACTTGCTATTTAAATATTACTTCACTTTCGTTTGTAGCATGTGAGAAAATGGATATAACAGGATACTGCAGGGATCTGATCAAGATACTCGAGCAAGCTGAAACCATGAGTGAGAAACTCACGCCACTGAAATTAATCGATGCGTGGTCTGGGAAAGGCGTATCAAAACTCAGAGTGGCTGAAGTTACTCCACCAAAGCACCCTCGAGAGGAACTGGAGAGGATTATTGCCCATTTACTGCTGCAGCAGTATCTGAAGTATGTAAGATGACCGCTTCCTTTTTTTTAACATCTAGTAGTCATTTTTCTTTACTCTCGTGTTAATTCTGTATCATATTAATGGATACATTCCGTAGTCTCATTTTTAGCCTTTATTTTGGATGCACTTAATGTATTTAAAAAACCTCAGAAGATTACTATACTTCTGCTTCAAAATGTTAAAACAAAAATTGGAGGAGCATTTGAAATGCTGCATCTCTTGCAATTTTAAAAAGCTGAGGTCTTCTGTATTCGGGTTGAACCTTTAAATCTGCAGCAGGCTTCATTTTGGAGAAGTCTGCAGTTTATATGGAGTCTCATTTACATTCCACGGCTAAGCAAAGCAAATGGAGTTGCCTAGTTGAAGTCTAAGCAGGACAGGCTGGCTAATATGGAAAGTGGTACTCAGAAATTTTAAGAAAGCATAGTGAAAATAACAACAGTGCTTCTCTTGTAACCTGGCTGTCTGTGTGGTATGTGGTTTGTCTTTTCATACAGTTTTAGAAGTTCAAAGAATTTCTACAAATCAAACATATAATCCCTTTATTTTTGTCTTAAATTTTTTTGGCATCTGTTTGTACAGCTGACTTTTTACACTCTTAAGAGGGTGAGCAGATGAGTCATTACACCTTTTTTCCTCATTTTTCTCCATGTATTCCAACAGACTGACACGCGTGTGTGTGTGTGTAAGGGTCCACAAACTGAACTATGTTAAGCGTTGGCCAGACTCGCTCTAAATTAAGTGACTGTCCACTTGAATAGATAAAGCAGAATCAAGCTGCTATTTGGAACATCCATCAGAAGGGTTAATGTGTCCCATTTTTCCCCTGCATGGTCTAGCTTGTCTTTGTCTCCAACCTTCTCTTATGACAGTGATTTAATTTATGCAGGGAAGACTTCAGCTTCACGGCATTTGCTACAATATCCTACCTGAAGATAGGACCAAAAGCAAGTCTGCTGAAAAATGAGGCACATGTCATCACTATACAAGGGATAACAAACAAGAAAAGTGTTTACAAGGTATCTGTATCTGTACTGATGTGCTATGTAGATATCTTTTCTGTTATAGTTTACTTCAATAGTTTGGTATCTGCTCAATATATTTTTCATAGTAATGCAATCAACAGGATTTAAAATAGATCTCATTATCTTCTCTCGTGTGTGGGAACACTGAAAAAGAAGGAAAACAATGTTAGAATTTTCATAGATTTGTTTATAACTTACAGGACAAACCATCTCAATCTTCGAATTCAAAAGGAAGCAGAGAAAATGCTCAGACTATTTCAAAGACTGTCCAAGATTCAGCGGTGAAGAATTCACAGGAACATAAACGGCCTAACTGTGGTTCTAACTTAAAAGCAAAGAAGCTTAAGCTTCAGGCAGGTGGAGATGACCAACCAGTAGTTCTTGACTGAGTTTCACAGACTACATTTAGGATCTAATCATGTTTGCTTCTCCATGGACAATCCAGTGTGTAAGTTCAGTTTGTGTTTTAGTAATGGTATTTTTTGTGCATTTTTTTAATAAAAACAAGCAGCAGGGAAACAAGTATCTTTAAAACCCTCAAAAGTCTAGTAGTCAAGGGAAAAATGCTTCATATAAAAATAACTGGTGCATATCTTACAATACAGCACCGACTACAAAATGCAAATAATTACCGTGTTACCTTTTGAACTCTTTTGGAAGTGTAGTGTATAGTAACACTATTGCAGAATCACGCAGGCTGGAAGGGACTTCCAGAGATCATCTAGTCCAACCTCCTGCTCAAAGCAGGTCCAGTTGGAACAGGTTGCTCAGGGCTGTGTCCGGTTAAGTTTTGACCGTCCCCAAGGATGGAGATTCCACAACCCCTCTCAGCACCTGTTCCAGTACTTGACCACCTTCATGACCAAAAAAAAGAAAAAAGGATATTTCTTAGAGCTAATTGTTATCTCCTGTGTTGCAACGTCTGTTCCCTCTTGTCCTATCACTGTGTTCTTCCAAGAAGAGTCTGGCCCCACTGCTGCTATGCTCTTCCATTAGGTAGTTGAAGACAACAGCAAGATCACAACAATCGCTCCGCCTCCCCCCGGCTTTCTTCTTTTTTAGTCTGGAAGAAATCCAGGGCTCTGTTTCTCCTCTCTAAGCCCCTGCTTCTCCTCCCCGAGTACCTAGGCAGCTTGGCAGCCCTCTGCTAGACTCAATCCAGTGCATCAATGTGTTTCTCTTACTGGGAGGTGCAAAACTTAACCCAGTGCTCTATCTGTAATCTCACAGGTGCTGAATACCCAGAAAGAGCAATTTCCCCAAAACTGCTGGTTACGTTCTTGTTAATATTGTCTGTGCTGGAAAGGCACACTGCTGATTCATGTTCAGTTTGTTATCTACCGGGAACCTGGGTCCTTTTCTGCAAAGCTACTTTCTAACCAGTCCGGCCCCAGCCTGTACTGTTGCATGGTGTTACTCCATCCCAGGTGCAGGACTTTGCTTTTGCCTTTAACTTAGAGGTCCTCGTCAGCCCATGTGTGCAGCCTGTCTAGGTCCCTCTGAATAGCAGCCCTGCTCTCCGGTGTATTGACAGCTCTCCCAAGCTTGGTGTCGTCTGCAGACTGGCTGGAGCACACTCCATCCCTGTATCCAGATTGTTAGTGAAGACCCTAAATTATATTGGCCCCAGTATTGATCTGTGAGCGTTGCCACTAGTAAATGGCCACCGGTTGGGACTTCATACCGCAGATCCTGATTCTTTGAACCAGGTGGTCCAGACAACTTTCTGCCTACCTTGTACATTTATCCAGTCTATATCTCACTGATACTTCTAGCTGTAAGGAAATGTCAAAAGCCTTGCTAAAGTCAAGGTATTCAACATCCATTGCTATCCCCTTATTCACACTGGCAGTTATCTCAGTCAGTCTGCTTGATCCGGTATGCTTTGCTTCCGGTAGATCTAGCTGGCTGTTCCCAGTCACCTCCGTATGTCTGAAAATGTCTTCTGGGGTATTTGCTCCTTAAGTTTTCTGGGGGCTGAGGTGAAGTTGACTGGCATGTAACTCCTTAGACCCTCCTTTTTGCAGATGGGCGAGATACTCGCCTTTTCCCAGTCGTCAGGAACCTCCCACAGTCTCCAAGTCCTTTCAGAAGTGATAGTCTTGCGCTGACCTCAGCTAGCTTCTGCAGCACCCCTCAGTCCTGTGGATTTGCGTACGGCCAATTGGCTTAAGTGATCTGTAACTCCACCTTCCTCTACTGCTCTACTCCCACGGACTGTTAGTAGGCTCGGGGACCTGGGAGGTCTGAGGGCAAACCTTACTGGTGAAAAGGAGGCAAAAACCGCGAATACCTCAGTCTTTTCCATGTCCCATGTCACTAGCTCCTCTACCACTCTGACCATACTTTCCTTACCCTTCCTTTTGCTGCCAAGGTACTTCTAGAAGCTCTTCTTACTGCCTTTTGCATCCTTTGCTAGTTCCACCTCCAGCTGAGCTCTTACATTTCTAACTCCCTCCCTGTGTGCTCAGGCAATGTCTCTACTTGTTCTGGGTATCTTGTACCTTCTGCCTCCTTTTTGTGTTTGAGCTAGCTGAGGAGTTCTCTGTTCACCTGTGCTGGCCCTCTGCCAGGCTTGCTTACCTTCTGCACATAGGAAGACTATTTGTGTGTTGAGGAGGTTGTGGTTTGGAAATCAAGTAGCTCTTCTTGAGCCCCTTTGCCGTCCAGGGCAGTCTCCCTGGGATCCTGACAAGCAGATCGCTGAACAAGCTGAAATGTGCTCTCCTGAGGTCCAGGGTAGTGGTTCTACTATGTCTTCCTCACTTCTCTGTCGAGTTTAAAATTCTGAATCACAGTCACTGAGCAACATCTGGGATCTGGGCACCTAGTAAGAAACAAACCTGTCGATGTCTCCAAGTCAATGAGGGCCTCTGTCCCCCACAAGAGGGATTCTCTGGTAACTCTCATCTTCCTTTTCTTCATTGTGTGAATGCTTGGCTCAGGTTCAGCTGGTATCAACGCATTCCTTGGTGGAGTCATCCTCCTCTTTCTCAGGGCACTGTACCTACTCTGCAACGGCAGAGCTGCAGGTGGAAAAGGAGCCCTTTTGTGTTGCTGGAAATGAGGTTTCCAGCTTTCCCTCCTGTGGGGGTCTCCATCCACTGCTCCTGGGAGGGTAGTCTCAAGGTTTTTCCTCCTTTGCAGCACAGGGCTCGGGTGGTCCTTAGCTATGCAGCATCTCTGTGAAGACCCTGCCGTCTCCTGTTCTTCCTCCTGGCTGCTACGCAGGCTGCTACCTCCTCCTGCAGCTCCTTCACCCAGCAACTCGGCACTGCAACCAGAGCACAGCTCCTGCCAGTGAGGCTGCTGTCGCCAGCCCCAGGGAGAGACATCAGACACCCGGAGACGTGGGCTGCTGCAGCACCCTTCCCCTGGAGCTGCGTGTGGGTCAAGGCCACTGCTCTGCCAGGGGCGGTAGTTCCAGTCCAGGTGGACATCACCATTACTGCAGTTTTCAGCAGAGATGTGGCCCTTTTCTGCAATACTTATACCTACTACAGCATATTTGAGTACTTGAGTGTACTTCAGAGAAGAATTTCAACACGGCATTGTTACAACATTGCACTACTTCTGACTTGTAGAGATTTTTGTGAAATATTATATGTATTTATCCCTTTAAAATCTGTTCTTCTTAGAACTGGATTTCTCTAGCTTGTCATTCAAACAGAAAATTACCCTTCCTGTGCTTTTCAGAAGTACCTAAATTGATATTTAAAAACAAGACAACTTTTCTTGATCTCAGCTGTTCCCTTTGTAAAAGTTACACTCTATATGGGAAATACAGGAAAAAATGCCACTCGACATACTTTTCTCTCCTCTTTTTTCCCCTGTTGAATTGGCTTATGTTCCAACTACAGATCTGTATTCTACTTAGCAGTGAACCTGGTTGTCCTAAGAAATACTCTTCTCCTCTATAAGCACTGGAACGCAACTGCATTGAAAGTTGCATACTTTAAGCCCTAAATGTGGGCTACGTTAAACTTAATCTCTGGGAGGTTTCTGAATTCTAGCTGCTTAACTTTGCTACTCCACCTATCCATTTGCTTACGTTCCTGTTGTCTGTGGAAATGGAAAAGAGAAAGCAACTATGGGAGAGTATCACAGCTTGCCTGTGGCTTAAAGTAGCATGTCTCCACCAAAGAGCAGCCTGTCTCTTTCGACTCCCCTATGATTCCTTTCATGTAACGTCTTGGTTCTGTCAAGGTAAGAGAGAGCCAGCGCTTACTGCTGCAAATGTTCTTACATCACCTCATCCCGCAAATCCCAGTGGCTGACGGCAATTAAATACCTGTTGGGGTGAACACAGAGTGTGTTTCTCTGTAACACACAGGTTCAATGCAAGCTTAGTCAAAACTGTAACAGTCAAGAGAAGAAAGGTGATAAAAATCACTCAGGATTACAACGGAAGAGTGGAACAGAAGACAGAAGTTGTTTTTAAGATGTTGCACAAGTAGTGGGAATTTGGTAATTCAGAAATTGTGGTAGAATTTTGAAGTTTGGAATTAGATTGAAACCGATACTTTTTTTTTTTTTTTGCTAGAAAGGCAGAAAAATTATATTTGAACGCTGTCAGGACCCAAGGTTGAACATGGGAAGATGTTAGTGTACTAGGTGCAAAGGGATAGACGATACAAAGAACGCTTGAGCTGTTACCTTGATGAGGTTGGAAAAACATGAGCCACTACTGAAATCCTAGTGTTTGGTAACCAGTGAGGCCTTTTGCTGCTACTGAGAACCCGGTGCTTCAGTTCCACTTGTGTTTGTCAGAGTTGGGAGCAAGAATAGCTGGGTTGAGGGGAAAAGGCCTGAAGAGCAGCTCTGTCCAGACTTTCAGTTCCTGAGTGGCAACAACTGCTGGGCTTTGGTTTTGTTTATGCTTAACCTTTAAGCAGTGCTTAGTCTCAGAAATGCAGCTGTTGTGGTTACACTCTTTATTAAAAAGAATTTTTGAACCACACGGAAGTTACAAATAAGAGCGAGTGGTCCTTTCCTTGCCCCTCAGGGTTCTGGATTTCCCCTCCAATTTCTTGTAGACTGAGCCCCTAATTCCAGGACTGTAAAATGCTGTTGGGATATATTTGGTAACTAGGGAATTACCCTTATTAATTCCTTTGAGATGGATCCCAACCTAGAACCATGTGACCTCCCTTCTCTCACACGTACTTCAAGACATTACTAGAACACTTGCCATCTTAGTATTTACATTTGACTAATTATATACAAGGAAAAGCTTCATAATAATGGCAGGTTGATTTTCATACAGTAAGTAGACCTGAGGAAAGTGATACTCTTTTCCAAACAAGGAGCAAGCCCTGTGGCTTAGCACTGTTCCACATTCCAACAACACAGAATCACAGGACAGCCCAGGTGGGGAGGGACCTTGAAAGATCTGGTCCAACTTCTCACAGGAAAGGGAGCCTAGGCCAGATTATCAGCACCCTGTCCAGGTGTGTCTTGAAAGCCTGCTGTGATGGGGACCCTCCCCCTGCCCTACGGAGGTTGTACCAGTGATTGGTTGTTCTCACTGTGAAAACTTTCTTTCTGATGTTGAAATAAACCTGAAGGAGTGCTTGAGGGGTTCAGAACAGCTGATGTTTTTCAGTACAAGCAAGCATCAGGGGACATCAAAAGCTCCGGTTCTCTTGCAATGGAGGGCTTAGTATAAGCTTTTTTCCCATTCCTGCTTTTCCCAGTCAGGAAGTACTTACAGTTATATAATCAGTATCCTCTGAAGTGGGTTATTTAAAGTGCATCAACATTGCTTCATTTGCTCAGTGGTACCTTCTGCATTGTGTAATTAAGTAAGTAAGTGCCACAAAGTTGTCTTCTTTCCAGGCCTAACCCAACCTGTAATGTAGGACACCACATCCTGCTAGCTGAACTGCGGCCATTCTACACGAAGGGTCACAATCTCTTTCCTCAGCAATCTCTGTGGACTAAAGAAAATCTTCAGCTACAGAATTTTTCTGCCTCCCATTTCAGCAGGGAGAATATTTAACTGTACGTGAAGTAGAAATATATACCTGTTGACTTCCTTTGATGTTCACCAGTGTTTCCAGAAACACGTATCTCTGCTGCCAGAATGGTAAAGACCCAACAGCTACTGCTGACTTCACACGTGAGGCTGAACGCTAGATTAGATTATTTTTTAAGATCCTAGCAGCCAATGATCAGTAAGGCAAGTTCAAACTCATTATAAATGTTAAGTTCTGGTAGGTTTCATTTTGGATGCCCAACACACATTCAGACATATATTAACTTAAATATAAACCAAACATGATTAAGAACATGCTCTTCATTTTTCTGGTAGAATCTTGTCAGTGACTGAAGCTTAGTATTTCACCCATTGTTTAACTAGAAACTTTGCCAAAAGTGGAATTAAGTCATTTAATTAAACAGTCATTCTCTTAAAAAATAATTAGAGTGATTTTCCAGGAGAAGTCTCAGTATGTACTGCCAACTTTGCATTTAGTGGAGTACAACAAACTGTTCCCAGTTTGTCCCTAAATAAACAGCAACTCCCAAGTAGCAACTGTAGAACAAACACAAAAGCTAGTATGAAACAACCTGTGTCCATGGATGGCACTATGGAATACGGAGAGGACATTAAGGAATAGCTTAAGTTGTTTGGCTTTATCACCTAGGCACTAAATTATGCCTAGCAACTAAAGAAGGAACTTGACTGAAGCAAGCCTGTACATACACATCACTATTAGTAAAGTGCATCTTGTGTAACTAACTATAAACATACAGCCAGGGAGCTAGTTACAACTGAAAACAGACAGCTTGAACCCCCATTTGCAACTTAATAGTAGATATTTTGTCACTAGCTACCACAAGTCAAATTGGAGCTTAGTACCTGCAAAAATTCCTTCCTGGAACTGACACGCATGACAGCAGAAATGAGGAGAGGGCAGAAAGCGGCCAAGACACAGTCCCATGCATGTTTTCATTAAGTGACTAATAGTTGTCTATGAAGAATCCCGTCAGGATACAGGACTCATGCAAAACAGCATCCAGTACCATCTACCACATCATCTGGATAGAGCAGCCTGCTCCGCAGGCTCTTGACAGGGAAGACCACCGCAGGTGACATCCACCAGTGCTGTCATGTTTGCCTTTCCTTGGAGTGCACCACACGTGGATCGGATCAGGATGCACCACAGCACCTGAATGACTGAAGTGACAAGCAGTAAAAAAGCTGCTCTCAACTGACAACTCATCCTGGCTTTCGTTGTTCAAAGTTTTTGTGTTCTGTACTTAGCCGAGTAGAAAATACATTTATTTCAGAAATAAACTTATGGGGGGTGGGTGTAGATGAAGCATCCATCTTGCTGTATATTTGCAGACCACATTCCAGTTAGTGAGAGCTCCGAGCACCCTGTGCCCTAAAGATGTCCTCTGTTAATCTGAGCCAGCTCAAGAGAGAAGGTACCCTCAGCTGGAATAGGAGTCTTGAAGCCTGTGGCAAGTACTCACAGGTCTGAGCAGTGGAGGGGTGCTAGTGGGGTGGCAACACACCCTGTGAGCGCCTTGTAAATGTTCACCTGAGCAAGTAGTTTTAGGAAGCAGGGGCTTTCCCACCCTAGCCAATACTCACACCACCCAAGTCCGGAGGTAGCTTTAGGCAGGTAAGGCAGCACCATCACATCCTGGCTCACAAGGGTGGTTTACTGGTTGGGATGAGGAACATGCATGGCAGCAAGCCATGGGGCAAGTGTGCTCTGGTAACCGTGGCAGGTGAATCATGCTTGCTTTGGGGAAGAAGGGGGCTATGAGGCAGGCATGGGATTTAACATGTTTTATTTACTTTTAGAAAGTGAAGGCTAGCTCGCATTCAAGTGAATGCAGTGCTACCTTAACAGTGCAGTGAAGCCCACTTTTTAAGACTGTTCTAGCCCTGTTCCCATATGCTCATCTAATCTAGACGAAAACTTTTTGCCAACACTAATCCACTTGCTTTTGTTGCTGCATTTCTACACAGATCAATTTAATTTGCTGGTCAGTATTTTGACAAGATCAACGCAAAATCTTAATAAGGAATTGCATTTATCCCTCATTTCCGGTAATCCTGAGGAAACAGTTTTAGAAGACATATTACTTGGTGTCAAAACAGGGTTTTGTTCAATCAAAATAATCTTCTATATCAATATCTGGATTCAGGAGATCTTCACCATAGGCTGAAAGATCCATCTGATTTAAAATTAAGTTTTCGAAGGTTTCTTCCAAGTCCGTTTCACCAATCAGCACAGCTCCCATCATTCGGCCATTCTGCATCACGACTTTAACATACTCTTGTCCCTTGGTACATCTCAGCATGAGTTCATGGTCTAAACCCAAGCCTTGAGCGTTGTATTTCCCCAAAACCACCACCTAACAGAAGGAAAAAGAAAAAGCACTCCTAAGATCATTGCAGTGGCTTTTAGTATTTCTGCTGATAACAGGTCTAAGCCTCAGAAGACTGAGGTAAACAGGGAAATATTTGTCCCTAGGGAACCTCCTCCCTTCGTTGGCTCTCAAACCCACAACAAAATTAAAAATCTTCACCTTGACGAAGATTCACGTACACAAACCCAATAATGAACCAGTTACCATGCTGAACTGTGTTGCATTTATCCATGAACAGAAACTTAATGAACTGGAATATATACAGAGATGCAAAATAGATCAATTGTCATTCACCAATTAAAATTTGTAATATATATCTGTAAAGATATTTGCCCTCTTCAGTTTCAGCATTCAAAGTTAGTATGAATGCAGAAAATCTAAACTAAGATTAATTATTATATAGAGGAAACTTTTGTCAATATTAAAGCATCTGCTCAGTTTTGGCAAGTGAATATAAGCAAGCAATACGTGTGTTACTCAGTGGTTTAAGACTATTAGACTGTATTTACTTTACCTTGTAATTGAAAAATTTTGTAACGTGAGCAAATAGTTCAAAGCTGAAATCCATATCAATAGATTCCCCTAAAGTATCTGCTACCATGCATTTTGCTGCATACCATCCCATCTGCCTAGCTTGAGTCCACAGTCTCATCTAAAAAAAAATCAAAAAGATTTAAAAACACAGACACATGTCACTGCGCAGTGACTGACACTCGCTATTCTCATCAGCACATACTACGTATTTTCATTGTACTCAGAAAGGCTGAACAGCTTGGCTTTCAGCCACAGAGATAAAGTTATCTGTCATCAACACACCCGGGATTATTTACTTGTTTGCTGGATTCCGCTTCAATTAAACTTTCTTTTCTCCCATCTGTGTGATAGCATGTAATTTACTTTGTAGATTAGACTGCTGCTGAGCGCACAATCCCATGATTTGATTTACCTGATGCCACACTGGACTAGGTTCCCACGACGCCGTGCAGATATCTCCAGCTGCATATATATCTGGCAGGGATGTGCGCATGTGTTTATCTACATTAAGACCTCCATCTTCACCTACAGCAAACTAAAGTATTTGCACAGATCAGCAGTAAGAAAAATAATCATTTAAACTAAGTAATTCAACTTCATCCATGTTACACAGTCATCTCACTTGTTACGGCAGACTCCGAAAAAAATTTCAGTGCTTAATCATGAGATTTGAAGACAAAGTTATATCAATAAATACTACAGGAACCCAGCAAGATGCTCTTCTGGATGCCATGTAGCAACAGAGAAGGTGGTCATTCAGTGCAAACAGTTTATGGCTATTCCTTCTTGCACCTGACCTGACTCAATTAGAAAAGACCGATAACCGCAAGAGAAACATGGTGTTCAAACCTCACAATCTCAAGACTCCTTCGTCTTCAAGGGAAGAAAACAGATCCCCCAAAGAGTGCCATAATGAAGTATTTTTCACAACTGTCCACATATAAAAGTATTACTTCCCCATACTGTAATGCAACCCTGCCCCCTGCAGAATTTACCCTGAATCTTACCAAACCTAGAGCCCTCCAAATAAGCAAAGACAAAATGAGCCCACAAAAGTAGAATTTCCTAGCAATCTCTGCATTCTTTTCTCACCAGGTTTAAGAACAGAGCAGTGTTGCATTTTACAAGTGACCTTCACATATCCTTTAAAATATCGCAAACTATGTATTAAAAAAAGCTTAGAATAGCATTACATACTGAGTAAAATTATTTAACATGAGACTATCTAGAGTGGCAAGACCCCCGTGGTAAGATACAAAGCATTAAGCATTACTTCTAGAACACAGCATAGGTTTTCAAAATATTGCCACAGATACCTAGGCAGGGAAGCAAGAGAGCTTGCCAAATTTCAAGTCACACCACGTATGTTACAGGGACACCGAGTCTTAAGAGTTCATTTTGTATTTTTGCCAAGGCCACAAAATACCATTGCAAATACCTAATTCCTAATCTAAACTTCGTAACATAGGTTTGAAATATTTCATGGCTCAACATCAGAGGTATGTTTTCGTAATTTTCTTCTGATTTATTCAGACGATAGCATTTTACTTCCTAATCAGAAGGAACTGCAAAACACCAAATACCCTAACATACAGGTTTTGGCTGGGATGGAGTTAATTTTCTGCATAGTAGCTAATACAGGGCTGTGTTTTGGATTTGTGCTGGAAACAGTGTTGATAACACAGGGATGTTTTTGTTACTGCTGGGCAGTGCTGACACAGAGTCAAGGCCTTTTCTGCCTCTCACACCACCCCACCAGCGAGTAGGCTGGGGGTGCACAAGAAGCTGGGAGGGGACACAGCTGGGACAGCTGACTCCAACTGACCAAAGGGATATTCCATACCATATGACATCATGCTCAGCATATAAAGCTGGGGGAAGAAGAAGGAATGGGGGGACATTTGGAGTGATGGCGTTTGTCTTCCCCAGTAACCGTTTACGCATGATGGAGCCCTGCTTTCCTGGAGATGGCTGAACACCTGCCTGCCCATGGGAAGTAGTGAATTAATTCCTTGTTTTGCTTTGCTTGCATGCGCGGTTTTTGCTTTCCCTATTAAACTGTCTTTATCTCAACCCACGAGTCTTCTCACTTTTACTCTTCTGATTCTCTCCCCCAGCCCACCAGGGGGGAGTAGGCAAGTGGCTGCATGGTGCTTAGTTGCAGGCTGGGGTTAAACCAGACACCTAAAATGGAGATAGAATGATCTCAAGGCCTGAAAATTCACATGGCAGCTATGAACTCTGTAATCATCATCCACATTTGGATGCTGATTCAAAGTGTGACTTCCCTCGATGAATATGAGCACCTTTATAGCTCAGTTTCCTAAATGAAAATTACTGGAAATAACTGATTCCTTCCCAGGAGAAAATTTTAAGATTTGTAAGATAAGAATATGGTGCAGAGTTAACACAAAAATTATTCTATATTTTTGCAACATCAACCAATTATACAAGTGTTTTTCTCTCTTTGTATATGCTTAATCTTAACAGTATATTGTATATATACTATGTATCAGTACATATCATGAGTAGCAATATAATAAGCCAAGAACAGTAGTGAAATTAATTTTTATCATGTTGGGCATTTCCAGTATCAATGTACCTGCCTTATTTTGAAAGGCTGTACAACATTCAAAACCTTTATTGATCAGTGTTTCATGTCAGAAGCATAAACCAGCTGAAAGAGCTTATTTCACCTTATTTAAAAAAAAAAAACCAGCCAGCTTAAACTTCAAAAGACATCAGTATACTTACACTATTGCCATCAAGAAATGGTTTAACATTTGGCACAACTCCAGTTGCACTGACAATGAAATCGCATCCATAAATTTTTCCATTAGTTAATTCCACATATACAGGCCATAGCACTGAAAAAGGGGAAAATTTTGCCCTGAGAACATAACCAACAGAAGTTATTTTATTAATGATGTCTTATTATAAGATATGAAATAAAAAGAAGAAAAAATAGCTTTTGAGATATCTCATTGATTAGGTAGGGAAAAAATAAAAATAAAATAAACCCCTAAAACCAGAGGTTACCTACAACATTTCTTAACTTCATTCAGGACTAGAAAAATGAGATTTTGGAGCTTAGCTCCAAGTCCTACTATTAACTTTCTCTGGAATTTTCCTAAATCAAAGCCCTCATTTGTCGGGGGAAAATACTGTGTCCTGCCACTGCTTCAGACCCACGGGATGGTCTCTGAAGTACGCAATTGCCAAGTATTCTTTTACATATAAATTTACAGATGCACAGGAAATGCCTTATAAACAGAAAGAATGTCAGAGATCTGACTTCCTAGAATCGTATGCTGAAAGTAACTGGCTATTAAAATAGTATTTTAAATATTAATTTTCATTCATATTATTTATAGATAGAATTATTCATGAAACAAGTTATACTTTGTTCTACTTTCTTTGAAGGATTACATCACAGTTCTGACACTAAATGTTTTTTGGGGTTTGTTTTTTTTTTTGCTTCTGTTTTAACTCTACTGTTAACATATGATTTTATTGGACTGTCGCAAGGAGGGAATATTCTGCCTACAGGATTTAGGTGACTTTGTGGAAAGAGGGTCTGACCCATAACATTTTGTAATTCAATTGTAGCCCATAAATCAAATTCTCAACTACTCTAAATTGCTAGAGCTCCATTTAATTCATAAAGGATTTTTTTTTCCAAATCTGTATTTGCTCTCAAACAGCAAACAAGATCAAACATGCTCCAGCACTGCTTCATCTTCAACATGTGCTTTCTAATCAGCACTGGCACCTACCCTCATCTGGTTCTACATTTTTCTCTTCCTTAGGAAAAGTCAAAGAAGTCCGTTGCAGTTGTATAAATTCTTGCTGTAAGTATATTTTCTTTACTTCACATAGTGTTTCAATATGTACTTTATGAGAAAAATAAAGAAAGATTGACAAAATTGTAAACATAATGATTAGCAATAACAATATTTTTAATAGCAAGTATACCTTCACCTAAATTGACATGTTACTAAACTGGAAAAGAAAAAAAAATACAAAACCCCACACATATTCCATCCTAAAGCATGACACATTAGCTGAGTTCCCACACTTTTCCCTTTTTTGGCACAGATCTAACCATAGCAAATGGCAATTTACCTGCTTTTTCAGCAGATATCTGATGTTCCTTGAAATTTCATGACAATTTAGATTTTTCTGGCATGCCAGAAAACATTCAAGTTCACCTGAGTTTACAGGAACAGAATTCGGAACAGAAAAAAGTAAATTCATCTCTCCTATCTTTCAGTATTTGAAACCCTTCATTTTTCTATCATGAATTAAATTCTGATAACAATAAGAGGCTTATGTTCCAAATGCTGTAAGAAGAAAAATATACCCTGTTCCATCAACCCATGTTTCAACCACTTACTCTTATTCTGAGCTCGAGACAGATGTTGGAAAGTTACCTGTTTCTCTAAACCATTTTGTGGATTCAGGCCTCGAACAGATTTATTCTCCACTACACAAACACGTTTCCACAGCCTTCAACAGCCAAAATACCACCAATTACTCTGTTAAATATCCTAAACATCCTTTAGTTGGTACTGTAAAGCCATTGCTGTAGAATCTATGACTGATGACCTTTGAAAGGACCTTTTTTTTTCTCAAATGAGTGTAACAGATGCAAACACCTAACATCTAAGAAATTAACAAATAAAAACCTGATAAACAATTATGAAATGTGAGGATTTTTACTTTATTTCAAACACAAAACTCTTCACAATGCTCATGTCCACTACTGATTTTGCATTTCATTACCTGCTGTGACAGGAGACTGATGCTCCCTGTACCTCTGTACAAATCTGACTGTTCTATTTTTCACATAAGAAAATGTACGTGTGGCAGCTAAAATCAGGACAATAGAGGAACCACTGCTTCTGGTTAAAACTAGGATTGACACCAGATCTGCAGAAATATCACAAACAACATTTATGTTTCAATCTGAAGAGCAAATTGCTAAAACTATACCAGTGGATCCGATCAGCCATCTTCCTCTTCAAGCAGAAAATTACTTTATTTGTGTTAACATTTTCCTGTTTAATTCTGACAGAACAGGAAAATCAGTTCAAGCACATTTTGTTTTTATTTTTCTAATAATCCTGAATGTGACATTTTACATTCTGTCATCCTCACCCACTTAAAGCAACATTTAAACAAATGTGTAAGCAAGATTATGACCATACCTCTTTAGTCCCTTTAAGACATAAGCCCTCATGCCAATCGGGGCCTAAGGCACTGCCCGGTTTGTCAGACGCTGCTCTACGTCTTTCTTTTTCCTCACTTCCTGAAGGAAAGAGACAGAGAGTAACAGACTTAGCGTGCATATTTCACTGCCTGCAGAATTCAGAACAAGGATTCTCAATTAAGAGAAATACGATCTGGTTGCCAGAAGGGAAGAAAAAGAATGTGTAATGTCCCAAAACCCATTAATTTGCAGACAAATCAAACTCCAAGCCAGTATTTTTAACACCTTTCAACTTCATGCCTTTCATTACTTCACTCATCTCCGAAACAACCATGCCACTGTTAGGTGCCTGCATGGAGACCGACCCCCAACAGCACCAGAGTTCTGGAGACCCACGGTAGACTTAGTTGCTCAGTATCAGTGCTAATACTTAAATTGATGTCCATCTGCTAGCAAATGTACACCATCCCCTCCATTGCATGAAAGTGCAAATTCTAACATACCATGATACATCTGAAGAACCTCAGGTGCCATTTTGTGATGTTTAGGCTGACTCTCTTACAATTTATTCTTCCAACACCATCCCACCATCCCCTCCAATTGCATGAAAGTGCAAATTCTAACATACCGTTGATACATCTAAAGAGCCTTGGGTGCCATTTTGTGATGTTTAGGTTGGAAGAATAAATTGTAAAAGAGTCAGCCTAAAGTCTAGAACCATGCTCTTCTTTTTGTTATTATTTTAGTCCTATATATGTTTGTGTAATGTTTGTTCATGCAGTTCTAGTTAACTGTTGTGATTAAGACTGCAGTTTCACTGCATCTGTAATAATGTTCTGTGAGGTTTCATCTTGTCCTCCAATAGCTCATTACGGGAAAGCTCCTTCCTACATAATGCTGACGTAATTCAGAAAAACATTAAAATATTACAGAAAATAGAACAGGTTCTTCAGCAGATGGAATACAGGAAATGAAATGTAAACTTGGCACAGCTATAAAGATAAGCACATTTTTTTACAGTTTTTAGGTAACTATTACATGCTGTCACATGTCTACATAAATTCTGGATTGTTTTTATATCGCTTTTTTACTGTTATTTTTTTAAAGAAGGAAATGCTATTGATAACAGTAAACCTTATTTACGGCCTGCTAAATTAACTGATCTTAGGACTATCTTTAATATTAAATGCTGCTGCTGCAGCGTTAGGAGACTAAAACACCATACCTTCCATTGTATATTTGGTTCTTTTACATTCAATTGGAGTCTCTCGGTTTTCAGCAGTTAGCTTTGGAATGAGAAATTCAGCTGCTCCTGCATCAAAAAAAGTGTTCCCAATGGCTTTGTCTTTGATAGCCCAGATTACTTCACAGCCGTGAATTTCATACCTGTGGACATTTAAACAGTGGATAAAATGACAGACTACCCGAAAGGGATCTGACCCTTAGCAACGCAACTAGAAGCATGCCAGGTTTCATTCCAGAAGCTAAAAATAAGAGATCCAAGACTTTTAAGCCTATCAAATCCACTACTGCTTCTAAATATTTACATAAGAAACTCATTAAAAAAAAAAATCTCAAGTTGACAGGTCATACTTTCTTACCAGCACAACCTCAACTGAACCAGGGTGGGGGGTGAGGAGAGGCAGATCAAATTTATAATACTACTTAGTATTTCCCGTTCCCCACGATGAAAAAAACGTGTATTTTTGCCAGACTGCCCACTGCTAAGAACAGACATTTGGATCTTGTTTGTACTACCTGGAACATGAACTGGTAAAGACATGCAGAGGACAATCTAGTGAAAGTGAAAAAGTGATTCCCTGCAACACAAAACAAGACCATATAATTGTGTAATACAGATGTTTCTGTAATCTAGCAGACTGCAGGACCACACGGTTCAATATCCTACCCGTGACAAAGGCCATGTCAGACACTTCAAAAGCTCTAACAACTTAAATTAGGCTTGGTGCAAGATAAGCTGCCTCTCTCTTCCTGTTACATTTCTGTCTCCAGAAGTCAGACAAGTTTTATAACTTAAATATTGCCCTTAATAGTCTTAACAGAAATCTCTGTTGATGCCAAATCAGAAAAATGCTGTATATTCTTGATATCTATGTGTCAAAGCTTCTTCTGAAGCTTGCTGGATTTTGTGACAGTAAGCGCCACTATACTGTGAAAAAGTTATTTTAATAAATTTTGCTACTAAATGATTTAAGAGCTACAATTTTATGTCAACCTTCTCCCAAACTCATGCACGCTAGATTTAACATAGCATTGTTAAAGATTTTATTTGCATATGTATCTTTAAAACTTAGTCATTTACTTACACCAATTCAAGTGCAATCCCACCATTTCCTACCACTACTATTCTCTCAGATTGAGCCAAATTCTTCTGAAAAGCCTGCATTAAGAAACACAAAAAAAGGTCAATTACAACTTAGATCACATGTTCCCTCATACTGATCAATTACATACTTATCGATATTTTCTTGCTCTCTTAGTTGTCTTGTTTTGATTTTCTCAGACTACGGATACACATCTTCTTATGCTAAGATCTGTTACAGAAGCTAATGAAACCTGTGAGTTCTATCACATTAAGGGATGAAGTTATATATACAGCCTTACAAGTCTCAAATTGAGACAGGAGAAGTTAAATAATTACACTTAGGCCAATTTGACAGAACCCTTAATAGAATCCAGGAGACTTTTCTCTGTCCTAGAGATCACTAGCATTGTGATATCTATTAATCCAGTTTTATCACAACTTGCATAACTTTCACAGTAATTTGTATAACATTAAAAAGGCAAAGATAGCAGAAGTTTAGGAATTTAAAAATTCCTGATCAAAACTCAGGAATTAAAAAAAAATAATTTGTAGCAAATCAAAGAACCAATTTTATTCATGCAAAAAACTTTCAGAAAGAAACAAGTCTCCAAATCCATCTTAGTGGTGAGAGAAATAAAAAAAAATATAGCCCAGACAGTATTTTTTCGATCATAATATAACCATGTCAAGTATTTTCTTTCAAACAAATTAAGAATCACAACTATCAGACCAACTATTGCAGTTACACGAAAATCCATTCATCCATGCTTCCAGTTTACCTAATTGTATCAGAGAACCTAAACATGAAAACTGCAGTCCTTTGATCTCTTCAGAGAAGGATACTGAAGTTGTATCAGAGGGGACTAGTGAATGCAACCAGTCACCATTAAAAAAGCCCCCAAAACCAGAAACAAGTATTTTCAGTCTCATTCAAAGTCCAACATCAGTTTTGACAAATGATAGCCCAGTTTACTGTTTCCCACAGTGGCCAATAGTGGATGCACAGGGAAGACCATCAGAAGATGACAAGCACACAACAATACTATCCTAGAACACCCTCACAGGTTCCAGACACCTGATGCCACTCAGGTGGCATCTTTCTCTTCAATTTAGACATGATAAATTTATCAAAGGCTGTCTTTTTTGTGTGTTTTTTCTTCCCCCTTCTTCTCCTTCCCTTTTTTTTCTTTTTTTAAACTCAGGTAAAGTTTTAATATTCAAAACAAACAACAACAACTTCATAGTTTCACTTCAGCTTGCTGGAAAAAGTAGCTCCTTTTTTATTCTCAGCATCAAACTTCATTTGATGAATTACAGTTCTTATGTTACGGAGAAGCAGTGTTCACTTTCACCCTGCCACCCTAATTCTAAAGGCCTATAGCAGTGAAACCACCTCACTTTCTACTTCCAAACTGAAGTTTTAGTCTATTAAGTCATTCCTCATGTGAAAACTTTTCCACATCTTTGACTATAACTGTAACTCTTTTCTGTACAATGAGGAGAGGCTACAGTAGAACTAGAAAAGTGTCCTTCAGTAGCTTTTCACTGTAAGAAGTAGCCCTTCGTACCTTCTCAGGGAAGTTTCTACTGGTGCCTACTTCCCGTTTATATTTTCAGTTTGGCTTCTGCCTGGAGGGTAAAAGAATACCATTTATTCTAGATTATCATATTTGAAATATTGTCTATGAGCTATCTATAAACTTAATAAATTTAGTGATAAATTAATTTAATGGTATTTTAAGGCTACTTCCCTGCTACTGAAAGTGTTCCTGTTTAAGGATATATATAATAACAAATATCATCTTACGTTTCTCCATTTCACTCCGCAATCATTTTTAGTATTTTGCATCAGAAGCAGAAATATATTATACACTTATGTGTCCAAAACACATTTACCTGTGCACTGTCAGTATCCCGGATTCCTAACACATATGGATTTCCTTCAAAAATTAATTTTGGTTTTGCTCCAGCACACAGGCAAAGTTTTTCATACATATATTCTTTCCCATCTTCAGTGAAAATTTTCTGTTAAAAATTAAATGAAAAGAAAAAACAATTGGAGACATCTAAGAGAACATCAGCTTTTTTTTTTCCTTAATGTCACAGTATTTTGCGGATACTAAAAGCTGTAACTGGCTTCTTAAAGAGCAAGCCTTCACACCCTCATTGATTGCGTGTAATTTATTTGCATCACACTCACCACAGACTTACAAGCCTAAATATATGACATTATATGACGGATAAAATGGAAAGTGTACACAGTGCACTCAAAGAAAGACGAAATATAAAGATTACCACTCGGTGGCACTCTGTACTCACTATCTGTGCTAAAAGAATCGGTTTTCTATGTGACAATGTCACAATGACAATGTCCCCCCACCCCAGTAATAGATGTAGACCTATGCGCTACTATGTATTAGCAATTAAGAATCTCATTCAAAACACTTCAACAACAGTAAACCCGTGTTAACTTAACCAGCCACAGGCTAGAATACAGTTTAGAAAGACCGCAAATTCTGTTCTTTGCTAAAGAAAAAGGGTAGGCACTAAACAAGCTACATCATTCTGCAACAAACAATACTTAAATTTTAACATTTTATGACCTTATTTGTTGTTTTCCAAACTATAAGCTAAATAGTTTACACTGGTTTTGCACAAAGATAGTTTTTAAAGGTTTTCAGAAAACAGAGGCAAAAGATCCTCCAAATCCATATACATGAAATATTCATGTTCACAGAGACATACCCAAACTAAAACAACATAATAATAATGATACAAGAATATAATTCAATTTGGAATATTAGCAGAATTATAATCTAAGTCGAATCATATCTCTGACTTAAAATGAGCAAAACCAGTTTTAGATCTGAATGCGAGTTTCTGATAAACGGTGAAGTGAAAAATAAAATGTCGAGCTGACACAGAAACTAACAAGGATCTGTATATGCTGTACACTGCTCATACTTGCAACATATTTCCTGCTAAAAAGAAAAGGTGGAAATGTTGCTTCTTTCAAGAATTATTTTTTTTTTAATCATAGAGTTGTTAATATTTTGGTCTCTGTAGCAACAAGCAGTAATTCGGGAATCAGCTATCTCCAACCAAGGGTTACAGAAATTTTGACACCTATATTGATATACAGTATTGGTTTCATTGACTGGTTTCCCTGCTATTCCAATCAGGTATTCAATGCAATATCTCTAAGGTGTCAAAGATTTAAATCTAAAAGATACAGTTTCTTAATTAACAAGTAATTTTTCATCAACAATTATGCCCCCTGCATATATTTCTACTTGAACAACAGCGTAAGTGATAAGTGAAATTGAAGTTAGGAAGTATTTTCTTGTAATTTTGGTAACTTAACACTTTAATAACCAAAATGTTCTTCAACAGAATTTCACACCCAAAATATTCACCAGTTCCTTAGATTTTTTTTTTTAAATAATTTGAAAAAAACACATAAAAGTAAAAGAGAAAACATTAGCTTACATGTTCATCACTTTTCAATTGTTTTACTCCAGACTGTATAACTTTAATATTGGGATATCGTTTTCCTAACAGAGAGCTTGGTTGCTCTTCTACATCAAATTCCTCAAGTTTTTTGGAGACCTGTAGGAAGAGAGGTATTTTAAAATATGAATCATTTATTCATCTCTTTTTCTAAAGCTTGTAACAAAATGTGTTATGTTCGTTTCCAGTAAAGAAGTCACAACATAAAGCCCATACTGTCTCAAAACACGTTATCATGGTACTGCTAAAAGTTCCTTTTCATATACAGAATCTTTTCATGCCTATTCCTGGTAAGAGTCATAGTAGCACAGAGAATTTTAATTCTAAAGGTAGAGACTAAGCAAAAATGGAGAACCCTGATGGCTGCTCTAACTGCTGTAACGTTTTATTCCACATATAGACTATATTATTAGAGTTGGCAACACTGCTTTTTAACTTAGCTGATGCAGTGTTAAGACCCTGTTTTTCTGTGTGTTATAACTTTGATAAAATAACTCAGTGATGTTCCCCCATGCAAGCATCTTCCTCTCCTCGGTATTTTGGGGAAAAAAAAATTCAGTCAAAATAGCTTAGAGAATTATGGAAACACACTTTCATCTGGAATAAATATTTTCATTCTATTTAAAAAAAAAAATCTGGTGACATTTTGTTCAAAAACCTAATGATTCAAAAACCTCCTGTTGCCAGTACTTGGCCCTTATGTCAGGAAAAGCGCTTACTGTTGTTCAGCTTGTAAGCAGGACATGTAAGACAAGTGTTTAGGTAAAACAGATTCAACACCACCCCAAAGCACTTACTCAGTTAGCATCTCATCCATAGTCACTATCTGATACTTCAGAGATTGGGGCCAGTGGGGGGAAGAGGCAAACCACAACTTGAAAACATTCAAGTAAGTTATGTTGATTTGGGATTTCTTCCAGAAGGGAGCGGCTGCATGGGAACCTCCAGGTCGTCTACTTTATAGAACATTCAGAGAGTCTGGAACACAGCTAGGAACCAGAAGCCACACCATGCTTGCAATTCAGAGAGAAATTAAGATGATCATGTCCAAAACTTAGAGATGCTGCCTTCAAATACTGTTTAGCTATTCCCTTATTCTTCAGATACTGAAACTTCTGCCGATGTGAATTACAGACTTTACATCTCTGCAACGTGTGTCTTTCCTGGATACTCGTGACCCTACTGTCAGCACTCTCAAACTCAGAAGATATTCTTTAGTTGGGTGTTACTCTACCAGTCTCAGAGAGCTCTCAGTCTCTCAGCTATGTTCTCAGCACCCCGTTAGCTCCGGACAAAAACCACAGTGCAAAAGGAAGAGATGCTGATAGCCAATTACAGCCACTAAATGCAGAAGAACTGCTGTTCAAATCTCTTTATGCTTTATTTTCCCCCCTGTAGTGATTTGAGTTAGGCATTCATACACCAGGAAGAATTATGTTAAAACCGGGCTGTCAGATAAACCTCAGAGTGGTCTTTCTTTACTTGTCATGAGATACGCCTCACCTGTTAAATGCCATGTTTCAGAAAGAGTCATGAATATAAACGCCAGGTAGAAGCCCAGCTCTTGGTGTCTTAACTTTCCCCGAGAGGTAACAGCTAACTTCTCACTGGCTGGCAGCTTTGCATCCTGAGTTCTGTGCAATCCAGTCTCCACCTCTTTCCATGCCCTATGGTAGAGTTCAAAGCTCCCTCAGAGTGGGAAAAAGAGTAGTGCTTTCCAAGCTCCGAGTACCTCTGCGAAACTAGTTTACTGAACCTACTAGCCAGAAATCCGAACTCATGCATGGATTTTATGGTTTTGTTTTTTGGTTTTTTTTCAAACCAGCAGGAAAGAGGTCATTGAATCACCAGCTGCTGGAGATGTAGACAAAGCTGAAGGCAATTTCACAGAAGGCTGTGCCTTTTTTTTGTTACTTGTCAGAAGTCTGTTTCTGCCTGAAATTCAAACACACTACTGTATATGAGAACCACTAGCCAGACTAAGTTTCTTAAGTAATTTATTCCAAAGATACCATTTCAGTGCTTAAAATGGAGCATACCCATTAACAAAGCAGTGAAATAAAGCTTCAGTATCTTAGAAAGTACTTCAACCATGTAAGTACCCAGTTTAACCTTTGCTCGAGTGTTGTGAATATATTCACCAATTACTAATGATTATGAATCACGCCAGAACATCTCAACAGTCCTACTAACACTTACCACTGCAGTCACACTAACGTGAAAACAAGTTCAGAATCATAAGCATTTTCAGGATTAGGTTCTAAATTATCTGTACACACACAAACTTCTAAAGAAAAATTAAGTCTCTCTTACCTGTTTGAAATTCGTTACAGCTTTTATAACTGGAGAAGTCGTCATTAAAGAAATGTCTTCTGATGGGAATTCCATGGCCAGCTTATAAAGAAACAGAAATCACGATGAGTGAATATAATCATCAATAGCTTTTGACTTTAAGACAATAAAATTATTGGTGAAAAGTAATATGTGTTACTACATTACTTTAGTCTTGTAGAATCCTATTGGATAAACACTACTTCAAGGTAACGGAAGGAGAACGACTAAAATGAACAGAATTTGGAGACCCAAGATTTTAATTCATTCACATACAAATATATTTTCAAGAACTGCAGCCATGGTGTAAATGACTACTCAAAAGACTATTCTTATAGTATTCTAAAGGCCAACTGTAGGAACACACTATGATCATGTGATTTCTGGAGACACCCAGTTGCTGGACATACTTTTTTTATTGCATAGCAGTGACTAATTGTTCACAGATTTCGTTCTGACAGAGGAAATGCTGATTCCCTATTGGCTATTTTAAGTGTTATTTAGTAAACTAATAAATGGATTATCATCTTCAGAGTGCTACTAAGCAATCCAAGACTTTTACAGGCCCCAAGCCAGAGTGAAGAATTCCCATTTTAAATGTGCATTGCTCTGCCACAGAAAAAAAATCAGCTCTGTCAAGTATAAACCACTCATCTCTGAGGTACAGACAAAACCCAGGGTTCCTTGTCACCAGCATTCTCCAGATGAGCAGAACAGTTGTATAAGCCACCAAGAAGCACATTCATGTTGTACACGAGCAACTGAGTTATAAAGGGACTAGCATGTATTCCTGTATCTCGGACAGGAGCAATGTAACATAGTAGTCTGAAGGTGAAAGTAGCAAAACCTTGTTGCTGGTTTAAGGGAGATTCACATGGTATTACCCTCAGCAAATACAAAGTAATTTAACAAGGCTATGTAAAACTTCATGTAATCCACACTTTATAGCATGAATCCCTAACGTGTTTCACACATATTGCAGCTGTATGCTTTGTATTGATGGACAATAGGAAGAAAGGTTGACATGTAACATACTGCGCAGTTGCTCCCAGCTGTATCTAACAAGCCTCAGAAAAACTACAGAATGCTATGGAAAGCACGCAATCATGTCCAATATCTTTATTAATGACAGATAGTGGGATTCAGCGCACCCTCAGCAAGTTTACAGATAATACCAAGCTGAGTGGTGCAGTCAACGAGTTAGAGGGAAGGGATGCCACCCAGAGGGCCCCTGACAGGCTTCAGGAGTAGGCCCACATGAACCTCATGAAGTTCAACAAGATCAAGTGCAAGGTCCTGCACCTGGGTCGGGGCAACCCCCAGTATCAATACAGGCTGGGGGATGAAGGGATTGAGAGCAGTCCTGCCGAGAAGGACTTGGGGGTACTGGTGGATGAAAAGCTGGACATGAGCCAACGATGTGTGCTCGCAGCCCAGAAGGCCAATTGCATCCTGGGCTGCATCAAAAGAAGCGTGGCTGGCAGACTGAGGGACCCCACCTGGAGTACTGCATCCAGCTCTGGGGCCCCCAGCACAAGACAGACACGGACCTGTTAGAACAGGTCGAGAGTAGGGCCATGGTCAAAGGGCTGGAACACCTCTCTTATGAGGACAGGCTGAAAGAGTTGGGGTTGTTCAGCCTGGAGAAGCGAAGACTCCAGGGAGACCTTATTGTGGCCTTTCAATATGTAAAGGGGGCTTACAAGAAAGGCAGAGGGACACTTTTTACCAGGGCCTGTAGTGACAGGCCAAGGGGTAACAGTTTTAAACTGAAAGAGGGTAGATTTAGATTAGGTCTAAGTAAGAAATTCTTTACTATGATGGTGGTGAAACACTGGCACAGGTTGCCCAGAAAGATGGTGAATGCCCCATCCCTGGAAACATTCAAGGTCAGGGACTCTGAGCAAGCTGGTCTAGTTGAAGATGTCCCTGCCCACGGCAGGGGGGTTGAACTAGATTAGGTCTTTAAAGGTCCCTTCCAAGCCAAACCATTCTGTGATTCTATGTAATAATCATCAGATGTACTCTGTAACCCAAAAAAATTTTAAAGACTGACATCATGTACTTTGCATCACTTACACATGCTCAAATTCTTACCCCTGCCCTCTTATTAAGATTTAATGGTTGTTTGAAACTTTCATTCAGTATTATTAAGGTAACTGCATTTCTTTACCTTTTAAAATACTAAAATTAGAAATCTGCCAGATAGAATATTAGGTTTATTGATGCATACAGAAATGCGTAAGTCATCACAATCCAGAAAGAAATGTTGCAATATAAGCATGAAAGGCAGAAATTATATAAGACATGAAACATTTTGTGACAGAGAAAATAAATCTAACTCAAGCTTTTAAGGAAAATTCAGCTTTTAAGACATTTTGTCAGAGTATTTCAAAATGTATTCAAAAAGTAACTAACACTGAATTTTTTTGAGACGGACCTGATGCAATGATTGTTCTCAGGTAGCTGCCTGAGAAGTCTGAACAACAAGACATCATAATGCATACCCAAAATGCAATATTATGGACAAGTTGTTTATTGCCACTATGTTCCACAGAATTGTACTTGCTCAAAACCAGAACTGAGAAAAATTGTGTTCAATCTTCCTCTTTTATTTAAAGCATGCCCCCAGCTACGGATGTATGACACAGAAATCCTTCCAGAACACACAGTGCCACTTTTAATGGACTTGGGTGAATTAAAACGTATGCTAGAAGACCACTAATACTGCTAACTGTGCTTCCTGCAGTACTGAGAGATGAGAAAAAGAGGCAAGTCTCTGTCATTGCATAACAATCTGATGTGGGTTTTCCAAGAAAAAAACTAATGGTGAGGGAAAGGAAAGAGCATAAGGAAAAGAGGTGTGAATTACAGCAGTAAGTGGCACTCTGAGCTTTGGAAGAAAACAGCCTGAACTCTGTGGCACTAACACAGAAGAAAGTATTTTCAAGAAAACAATAAATTTTAGTCCCTTTTATAGCAATCTTAAAGATTACAGACATCCAATAGCTATTGGAAATAACTGTATTGTGAAACAGGATCATAGCAATTAGACACAATTCTAAATTACTTCCAGGAAAACATAAAGTCTCTGGGAATATTAAATATTGACCCAAATCTTATTCTTGCAAGCACATAAGGATACACAAGTGCCTTAATTATGTGAATAGTTTAATCAACTTTTAAGGGATTACTCATACTAATACAGCATTTAAGTGTCTGTAGTACCAGAGCCCACATATTACATTAACCATGAATAAAAGGAAGAAAACCTCAAACTAATAAATGGTAGAAACAAACCAATTCCATAAAGATGGAGAACAGTATCAATATTTTTTTGTAATTTAGTCTGCATGTGGTTTATACAATGTCAGAAATGAAATATCATCGCTTCATCACCAGAGAATAGATGCATCTGAAACAGTCTTTATACTGCTTTGTAGTTTTAACAGATAAAATATTCTTCACTGAACTAATATCCATATCATTTCATTCCATATTATAGGTTTAAAATTACCTCCAGTTACTGTTACTTTAAAAACACCAAAAACCCTTGAAACCAAGAAACGAACAAATTTTTTTTTTGAGCTTGAACTCATGAAAAGCTGAAGAGATTGGACATTCTCCACTGGTGTACAGCCCTAAACAGGGATCCAATAAAAACAAAGCAATATTTTTATAAAAAAGAGCACACCATAGCAGCCTTCACCTTAGCTGCAGTACAATCCTTTATGGCTATGAGGAATAACGCATGCAGTGCTCCTTCAAGTTTCTGACCTCTTGACTAGCATACAGAATGCCAGCTTTCTCAAGTTACAAAGTTTGAATCCTCTTTTTATGAAGCAGTCGTACGCCCTTATCAGGTTATGTGCATACAGTTTTAACCTCTTGAGAAATATTTCTAGACAGATAAATATCCTTATATTACAACACTGCTTCCCTGGGGCTGGTTTTGTTTTGTGGTGGGTTTTTTTTTTTAAGAGACACAAAATATGGGAGGGGGGCAGGACAAAATGTGTAATTACTGTATAAATGAGAATATTTATACAGTTATTTTATAAATCTAATGAACTGTTTCTACAGAAGTTCGTAAGTTGACCCCGAAAGCATTGATGTCTCTAAGTAAACAGAAATACCTGAGAGATCCCTACAGTCTTGCAGGCCGGTTTCCCCCAGCGTACGGCTGGCCGAGTTCAACGCGCACACGCAGTTACACAGGGCCCGTCCGCCTTACCACCTGCGTACACCCTGAAGTTACGATAGCGCCACGGGGCCGAAGAGCCTCCTCCGGGAGCCCAAGGGTCAAGCCCCGGCCTTACCGGCTGAAATGACACCCTCCCCCCCCGCCCCGCCGGAGCCGAGAGAGGGGAGGGCCGGGGCTGGCGTTCGGGGCCAACATGGCGCCCCCACCCCGGAGCGCGGCAGCGCCTCGCGCCCCGGCGCGAGGGGTCTCCGACGGCTGGGGGTGCGCGCATGCGCGAAGCGGGCAGAGGCGCCCCAGCCCTTACCTTCTCCGCGCAGGTAACCCCTGCGATTCCTCCGCCCACCACCACGAACCGACTCCGCGCAACGCCGGGGGCAGCCGCCATTTCCTCGCCTGCTCCCGAGCGCGCCGGCGACGAAGGAAAAAAAA